GCCAGGGCCATGATGCCGCAGATGCCGTTCATGAAGGACTCCTGGTTGGACTGCAGGAACTGGAAGACCATCCGGAATTTGTCCATCGTGCCCCCCACGGAGCCTGTTGGCCTCCTCCCGCCTCACCGCTGCCTCAAGGATGGTTCTTGCAGCCCACGGTGCCCACTGGGTGCCCACCTCATGGCTGAGACGGGCAGAGCTCAGGGCAGTGGCTGGGGTCACTGTCTCTCTGAGAAACCTTCTAGTTAGGTGCTGGCCGGGAGGCGCGAGGCGGCCAATGCTGTGGGTGTAGCCAGGATCCTGCCCCTCCCCTCCGGGCTCTCTCTCCACAGCCACCTCCGGCACAGGGAAACCACCAGGGCCACACCTGATGGGGACCAGTTCTCTATGGGTGTGGGAGTAGTGCCAGGAGTGCAGACAGGCTGGGAAGACACTATCTCCCGCAGGGTTGGAGTTTGGGACAATCCAGGGCTGCTGCAGAGGTCTGAGCTTCTGAACCGTGTCCCCTGGGCTCCAAGGGAGCATTCACCCTCCTTCGGGCCTTCCATTGGGTCTTCCCTCCACGCTATGCCAGGGTCCCCCATCCGTTCAGACCATGATGGTACGATGATGCAGGGCAATTGTAGTGGTGGCTATAATGGGGGTGATCATGGTAGTGCTGGGGAAGGCAGTGTTGGTGTTGGGGATGGTGCTGATGGAGGTGAAGGTGGTGATGGCGGTGACGATGGTGGTGGTGTGATAGCAGTAATGATAATGATGGCAGTAGTGATTTTGGTCACAGCGGGAGGGCAGCACTAGTAATGGAGACAGTGCTAACGCACAGCATGGCGTAGAGTAAAAAGCCCTGAATTTGGAGCCAGAGGATTTAAATCTGAGGTTGCTGGGTCTCCTCCCTACTGGGCAGGGAGCTATAGCCTGTGAGCATAATGCAGGTGCTTTTATGTCTGGTTTTCTTATGTCTCTGTGGGTGTCCGTGTTTGTAGATTATGGAAGAAAAATCCTTTCTTGGCCCCGCCTCCTACTTCTACTCCCCCAGATTAAAAGATAAAGGGGTGGGGGGTAGGTTTTCATGCCTGAGCTCAGGCCCTCAAGCGTCTGTGGGAACCAGGCCAGGGCCCCTCCTATCAAAGTGGGGAGGAGCTTAAAGGGCTCCCTTTGATGCCCACCAGTTCTCCCAGAAGAGCAGGTCGGACCCAGCTCCAAACACATGGCTCCTGTCTGGGGTGAGAGGGTGGGGCCGGGGCTGACAGAGAGCAAGAGGCTGGACAGGGTAGCTCTGTGCATCCCTGTGGGTGCCGTGGGTGCTCTCGGTGCCTTTGGGCCTTGGGATCTGTGTATCTGCATGTGTGCATGTAACCACATTAGTGGTCTGTGCGTGTCTGTGTGACCAACAAGAGCTTGCATTGACTGGGCTTTCCCTGTGTCAGCACGTTACAGGCATCGCCTGGTGAAATGCTCATAGAACCCTACGGAACAGGTGCTATTGTCCCCATTTTACAGAGGTGGAGCCTGAGGCTCAGAGAGATTAAGTTACTAGCTAAAGTGTACCCAGCTTGTAGGTGGAGGAGTGGGATTTGAGCCCAGGCTAGGTGGGCGTGGCGGTGGGAGAGGGGGCGGAAAAGTGTTTTCTGGCCTTTCTCTTCCAGCTGCATCAGTTCTCCTGGCCCACTAGTCCAGGTGGAAAAGGTTGTGTCACCAACAGGATGCGGTGGAGAAGGATAGTGCTCTTTTCAGCCCTCTGGCTGGGCCTGCGGCAAATGGGGCCTCTAGGATGGTGGCCTCTGGAGGACCCTTGTTGGGGGCTCCCAGGGGGGGACCCCCAGAGGGAGAGCAGGATGAGGGTGGGACGTGCACTGGGCCCTCTGCCTCCTGTCCTGGCCCCCACCTCAGTGCTGGAGGAGTTAAGTATCATGAAAAGCAGCATGCAAAGGGGCCGCTGGGGAGCGGGTGCTGGGCCTTTAGGAAAATGTCCCATTTGCGTAGGAGAGCACGAGTGCGTGGTGCTCCAGTGGGCACTGCTCTCCACCAGCGGCTGGAGGAGCACCCACAACTCTGCAGGTCTTGGCCCTTCCTCTCCTCACTCAAGCCTCTCTCATGCTTTCCATTCCTGCAGCTCAGCCATCCCAGCCACGTGGGTGAACCACAAGTTTCAGCCCCCCTCCTGAGCTTGCCTGCAAGCACTTTCTCATCACTGACTTCCTGCAGAATAAAGCCAAGGTCCTGAGCTAAACTTCCAAGTCTCCCACCATCCTACCGTCCTCACGCAGAACTGAGCTGCCCAGGCTGCATGGGCAACATGGGGGATTTAGACAAGCCACGCCCTCATGGCTAGTACATTTCTGCCTTGCCGGCTGGCCACTGTGTCTCCTACGAGAGAGGGTCTATGTACAGGGTAGGCACAGGAGGGCCATCACCCAGAGTGCAACGAGGCTTGGGGAATGAACTTAGGCACCCCCGATGGCTGCTCCCCTGGGAGGAAGGGTCTTCAGGTGCAGGTGGAAGCCTCCCACCTGTGTCCCTCTCTCCCAGGTGAGGTGGCACACGCTGCCCCAGGCATCTCTTTCTCGCGGGATGTGAACAAATGATGGTGTGGACGGACATTGGCTAAGATTTGGGGTTTGAAACCATATCATGTTTGGGGGCTAAAAAGGGTGGGGATGCATTTGAGGACCATCCATGGCAGAGGATCCCAAGAATGCATCCCTGGTCCTCTTGGTGGACTTCATGTGGGGTGGGCTCCTCAGCTCTCCAGCCAAGGTCCTCACTTTAGCCAGGCTGGATTGCACACCCCTTCACTGGCTGTTTTTTTTTCACTAGCTCATGTCCTATCTTCCCTTCCAGACTGGAAGATCCATTAAGATAGGCCCAAGTCTGTCCTGCTCTCGGACACTCTAGGCATTCCATCAATATTTGCTGAAAGAATAAATGAAACATGTGCGACCCCTTCCCCAACTCTTTGCCTTTGTTCTTGCTGTTTCTTCCCTTGAGGTGCTCTGCCCCACCCCACATCTTTCTCTCCTTGTCCAAACCCTCCCCATCCCTCAAGACCCATTCAAATGCAGCCAGTCGCCCGGCCTGGAGCGTTATTCTACATGCTCAATCCCCACGGCACCTGACTTGCCTCTAGTCTACCATATCACTTACACCCTTTGCTTCGGATTATAATGATTCCTGTATCCATCGTTGACTCTCTCTCCATTAGACAGCGGGCTTTATCATCTGTGTGTTCTCTCTTCCTTATTCCCTGGTACAGGGTTGTCTATGCAGTCGGTGCTCTGTAAGTGCTCAGTATTAGAAGGCAAGAGTATTGATGACAGTCAGTGGCTTTTTACTGGTCCAGATGCTGCGTCCTTGCAGCCCAAAGTGAGGTCCCTGAGCCTCCTTTCCCCAGGCTGGGATCTCACCAGCCATGACTGGGCCATCTCCAAGCTTTCCCCACCCCCTCCTGACCCAATCCCTGCTAACACTTTGCCTAAATCTTGCCCCACCTCAGTGCCATTTCTGATATTTGCATGGCCTGACCACAGCAGGTAGGTGGGGGGAGGCTGAACTGCAGGGATTGTCTGGTCCTTACAAGGTCCCTTGGCAAGAGGTCAGGAGAGCAGGTATAAGTATCCTGATATGGAGGGGGCTGAGCTCTCGGGAGACATCCTGGGACTCCTGGACTACTCCTAGGCCTGACGACTAGAAAAGCATGGGTCTGCACCATTTGTGCTAATGAAGGCAACGGTGGGATGTGAGTGTGTGTGTGTGTGTGTGTGTGTGTGTGTGTGGTATGAGAGAGTCATTAGGGAGGAGCTCACAGGCTAGGTCTTCCCCAACCCTTCCTGTTTGGGCTACCAGACATTGAGTGGCAGTTTTTTTCCCCCCACAGCAAGATCGAACCCTGGTGTTTCAAGGGTTTTCATCCCGTAGCCAGACCCCACACCCACAGTTGGCCCAGAGTTTCTTAAACACTGGAACTTACAAAATCTTCTTGTTCAATGTGATGTCTAGGTCTGCCCCCACCCTGGTTTGCCGATCTGGTCCTCACACCACACACACACCAGGGGAAATCCTCACCAGGGTGCCAGCTTCTTGCTGAGGGCCGTGGTAAGATAGCCCTGAAGATATCTGAGGAAGGAGGCAGCCTTACACAGAGATGCTGAGCTCAGGTGTCAGGCCGCAGGTTGGGGGGAAGGTGGTGAGTGGAAAGGTGAGGGAGGAAGCACCTGCTAACTGAATGTGGGCAGAAAAGCTGGGCCGAGAAAGGAGCTGCATCTCAAAATGGGGTGCACCTTGAAGGGGGCTCAGCCTTGGTCTGCTAGAAACAGAATTGGTGGGGCTTTATCACCTGTGTATTCTCTCTTCCTTATTGCCTGGTACAGGGCTGTCTATGCTTTGAATAAAGCACTTTTGATGTTTTTCTTGAAATTATCGTGTTTTGATTACAAAATCCGCATTATTAACCAGTATCCACACTATTAACCAGTTAATGGTTAATCCGCATTATTAACCTGTATCCCAGGGCTCCCCCCTGCCTCTGGCTCGGTTAGGGCTGGCGGTGGGCGGCGCGGTGCCTCCCGCGCGCTCCCCCGGGGCCATAGAGTCAGAGCTGCTGGCGGGGAAGCTCAGAGGCTCAGCCTGCGGGGCGGCGGAGCCCATCATCTTATCTGCTGAGCAGTTACAAGTTTCCATCTGACTTCCGTTTCCCACTTCTCTGACGTCTCCTTTTTTTTTTTTCTTGCCTTGTGACCTGGGTTTTTACCCTCGTGACTGGGCTGGTCCACATTCTGCAAATATTTCCTGCCCCCGCGCCCTTCAGCGACACTCGTGGCTGTCGATCTGCTGGTGGGTCTCCACGGTGCGCTTCCCCACCAGCGCGGCCTCCACCGCCTTCTCCACCCGTTTCCCACTTCTCTGACGTCTCCTTTTTTTTTTTTCTTGCCTTGTGACCTGGGTTTTTACCCTCGTGACTGGGCTGGTCCACATTCTGCAAATATTTCCTGCCCCCGCGCCCTTCAGCGACACTCGTGGCTGTCGATCTGCTGGTGGGTCTCCACGGTGCGCTTCCCCACCAGCGCGGCCTCCACCGCCTTCTCCACCTTCTCGCACAGC